CTGAATACTTTCCGTACCCACTGTATATGTGCAAGTGGGAATGAGAGACAGCAAATACCTTTTAAAAAATGTTTTTTTTTTTTTTAACAACCATGCACATTTTGTATATATTGCACTATAGAATTTTAAGGTTTGACCTGTAAAGAAGCTAAAAAGAGGCTATTACAAGATCTAACAACATACATTATGTATAATTTTGTAGTGGACATTACCTGGAAGCCTTCAGAACAAGTTCTTACTTTTCTGTGGGGACACACACAAAAAAACCCACACACATTAAAGCTACAATATGTAACTTATGGTAGCATTAGCATGAAACTCCAAATCACTCTGTCCCACCCAGCGCTCCCTCTCTCTGCTCCACTATGCTCTACTATGATCTGCTGCACTCTGCCAGGCTTTTCAGATATTTGTCATTATGAGATTACACTAAATGAGAATGGAACAAAAATAACTGAAAACCCTGATTGGTTAGAGGTCAGTCCTGTTCAAAACCTTTTAGAAGCTAAAATCTCTACACTTCTGCCAGTGCTATTCAGCGAGTCTGGGTCACAGGAGGCTTTGACAGCACCTCTCCACATCAAGGCAACTTTTGGAGCAGATTTATACAGCAAAAATATTTGAAAAAAGTTTCATATGCAACTATAAGTAAAGTATTTACTTAACAATTTGCAATATTGTAAATTTATTTTTAAAAAGTCAAACATTGTACCAAAACAGACTCTGGGAAATAGTGAGGAGTGAGCCAATGTCAAAAGGAAAAACCCAGAAACTTACAGTATGTGCTTCTTTAAAAAAAAAGTCTTGCCGTAGCACTAAAATTAAAATCATATTTCCCAAAATAACAAGAAGAGTAGGTGTAGAAGGTGTGAGACAGAGCAGGTTTGAAACACATAAATACACCTCATCAAGTTATGACAGCCTTTATGTGTGTGCTTTTCATAATGGTTTCTACTGTACCCTGTAAGGAGAATTATTACTCCATCATTCACACCTGAAGCAATTAATACCTTGTATTCACCTACAGTAGAATTCAGGTACCATTTTATTCAGCAGGTTCTCTATTTTGACCCAGTTTGCACCTATAAGAAACTTTACTCCATACACTGCTGAATCAAGAAATCCATTCCAAGCACAATATATTTTTCTTAGTTACACACACTTGATTCTGCATTAGGCCAGTATGTTTGGTGATGTGATTTAACAGACTTTGAAAAGGTGTGACTGTGGGTGCCAGGAGGGGAAGCTTCAGCGTCACCAAGACGAATCAGTGTACATACAAACAACAACAAAGCGGTAAGCGTACACTGTGGTCTGTAGTACATGTACGTCTCTGTAGTTCAACTTATTTCCAAACTAGGACATTTATATTTTGAGTTAGGTTTTTTCTCTTACCTTTTTTTTGGCCTGTAATAACTCCTGATAGGCACTGGAACGGATGAAACGGCTGTACGAATCACTTTTCATCAACTTGTAGATGTGCTCCTGTAGACCCACGTAATGATTGTGTAAGTATAAACACATTAAACAGGGGAAACACATTGTGCAGAATAGAAATTTTAAAATCAATGCAATACTCATTTGACCACCAAAACAAAACTGTAGTTCATAAATTTCCAGGAGCAAAGTTGTATCATTTGCACTATGCAGTGTTTATATCACTAGCAATGTTCCAGTCACACATTGTAAGTGTAAAACTGTAGCAGTAGTGGTTTATACCACATGTCATTTGATGTAAGGTATTTGTATTATTTGATATAGAATAATCACACCTGTGCATCCTCAAAGGCGTAGCGTCCGGGATCTTTGACATTCTGGGTGGTTTTGCCGTAGCTCCTAGAGTCCACGTTGATGGCACTGGGCGCTCCAGGAGCCAGAAACTCCTGCCAGATCTCCTGAACCCGAGTTGGAACTTCTCTGATGGGACGCTTCTTAAGTTCCTGGACTGCTAGCCAGAACCTACAGGTAAATGTTAACAGTAAGATACTTGTTAGACTCAGATTGACATAATAAGTCTGGATCACACAGGTACTGGTTTTAAATACTGTCCAGTCACAGTCGGTAGGTTGCAAATTTTCATTATAGTCACTCATTTTTCAGAGTCAGACGTTCCGCCAGCGATCACATCATTGTTTACATCAACTTTGAAGTTTCCTCCACTAAGGGTTCCTTTGGCAGATTTTCAAGAGAAATTTTGAATTGCATATTAAAATATTTACACAAATCAAATTATGAAGTGCACATTCAAATGTAATAAATTGAAAACCAGTACTGCAGAATTCATAAATTGCAATTGAGCTGCCATTGAACAAAACATGAATTTTAAGTCTTAGACAATCGCAGGCTTTATTTTCTACATAAATGCCACAAACTCATACTAAAACATTCTATAAAATGACTACTACTAATAATTCTTTTATTCATTTTAAGAGCACTCCTTTACACATATTACATAAAGTAATTTGCTCCATCTTAAACAGATGGTAAGAAATGTGTAACAGTAATTACAACTGGCATGATTTCAGTTACAGGAGGTTTTGAACCGTGCTCAACTGGCTGAGATTAAAGTACAATTTAATTAAACTGACCACATTATCAGCTTTGGACAGAAACAATACAGACATGAACCATCAGAGGGAGCAGAGGAGCCATTCTGCACAGTAGTTACTCTATGCATATTTAGCTGTTTGCATGTACCTTTGGTACTCTGCAGTATTCCTGTTACCATTAATAAACCAATTACCTTAATATTCCTGCCCGCCTGTGTTGTTCTAGCCACAGCTACAGTTGTGCATATTTTTAAAAAGCTGCGCTCACTCACTGCCTCTGCTTTGATTACAGAGAGGGGCAGAGGCAGTAACAACAGTAGTTAGTGTTCATGTTGTAGTTGACATAGTTAGTGTATATGATAATCTGTGTAGATGGTAAAAAACCATGTTAGTGAGACATTATTGAGATATAATGATCATGTATCTTGTCATCATCAGCGTATTAGAAAAATATGGCCTTCACTTATCACAGTCAAGCCAGAGACTCTCATATAGTGTATGTGAACATTTCACTTTTGTGTGTATGTGTGGGGAGAGCAGCAAAGTGTGAATTAAATCCTCCACAGTCTCATGTGTGTTTGTGTGTGCACTTTAATTAATCACATTGTGGCAAAAAATATCTGTTCACACAGTCACATTGCAGGGACCCAAATAGAAACAAAAAGCCATGAAAGTTAATTATTTAGGCTGAAGAATCGGTTTGTGGATGAGGATACAGTTTGCAAAGGTTTAGACAACCGTAATGTTTAGGACTAGGAATAAAGCAGTCGCAGTTAAAGGCACAGTTCATCATCCAAATCAAAACCCATGCTTGGATCCTGTTATCATGCCTGCTATAGTCTTTCTAATTATGCTACTGTATTTTTATTTACATATATGTTGAATGCAAGACTTTTACTTGTAATGGACAATTCAAAGATTGCTCTGTTATTGTCTTTACATAAGTAAATGATATAAATTAAAACTTGGAGGTTAGGTTAAGTCTCCAAAAGAAAAAAAGAATTATTGCAATACAATGTTCTCATAAGTAACAAAAACAAGTATTGCGTCTGTGTGTGGGTGCATGCTAGAATGCATCATGTACCTGAGATTCTCTGAGCTGAACTCAGACTCCAAGAACTTCAGGAACTGCTCTCTCCCCACAGGATCTTTGAGAACCTCATTGATGCCAAAAGCCCATCTCTTTACCCTCTGCTGGCCTGGCTCCTTGCTGCAACATATATGACATATGTGTTAACAAAACCCATAAACTGTAAAAATTGATCAGATGTATCTGTGTATCCGTGTGTCTGTATATGCCTGTATGGTATCTGAGTATACTTTATATTGTTCTTTCTCTAGAGACATGTACCCACCTGGCTTCAAGCTCCCAGAGTGTGGTGTCATCTGACATCCAGGGGTTGGATGGATCTGGAGGCGTGAGGAAAGGGTCGTATTCAAGGTACTGCTCTGTGTAGCCCAGCAAGCTGTTTGTTGAAAACAACCAAGAGAGCATTTGAATGACATCAGTCTGTATCAGCGGCAGTTTGACTTATATTATTATTGATCACATTTGGGGAGATTATGTTCCTTACCTTTCTGTAAGACATTATGAATGAGTTTAGTTTTAAGTTTTAATTGACAAAAGGAAAGGTGAAATCCTCTTGAGAGCAAATTAGATGTAAAGTCGACAAAAGAGGTATAGATCCAAGGATAGAGGAGTGCTCAGTGCACCTTTCTTTCAGTGAAGGAAATGAATGACAAATCAACACTTCATGTACCATCCAGTATCTGGCCTTGTCAGCACTAATGCCCACTGAAGGCATTGTCTGGGCTCAATCACTCCTCAAGGTCATCGGAGCTCTTAATTCCATGCCATGTTAGGCTGTTTAAAGGCTCAATAAACAGATCGATGGCTAAACTGAATAAAGACACAGAACACTGCTCACCTCTCCGCCACTTTGGACATTTTCAGTCGATGCCTGTCTAATTGCAGTTGCCAAAAGGCGATCTGAAACCGTAGCAGAGAATAATTAGCAAATATCAGTCTCCATGAAGTCACAAAGAAATTGTTGGTTTGCAAGTATATATACATAAACATGTTCATGTGAGACAGAATACAAGTAAATAAAAAAGATAAAATGGTAAAAGGGCACTGGAAAATTATATATAAAAGAGGCAATAAAACATACACATAAATGAACAGGGATGAATATTGCTGTAAAACATTCTAAAGCCAGGGTAAAGGGATAGATTTTAAGTTTACATTTCCAAAGCTCAACACTTTCAGTTAGTCTCTGATCCGTATGCAGACTCTTCCAAGGACTCTGAGCATAAAAAGTTAAAGCTGCCTCACCAAACATTTTTGTCCTGCACTTTGGAACAACTAAAAAGACTCAAGGTGTCAGCACATCTGAGAGGTTGTCTGGAGGCAAGTCAAATGCTGTAATATGCTAGTGCAATACCATGTGGTGCTACATATCATAATTTTAAAAACAGCATCTTCAATTTGATCTCAAATTATTTAAATCCCTATATTTAATAGTAAAGGTCTAACCTGTTCCTGCAGTTCTTCTTCCGTAGGCTGCTTGGCTTCTGGGGCCGGGGTGTGGGTTGGGCTGTGGGTTCGAATATCATTCTGCAACCCATACACAGACTGAAATGACAAAGTTAATGCAGAACTATCAGTGCTGGTAGTTTTACAGCTGCTGACAAGTACAGCTGGGAATAATATGCCTGTCTCTTCATGTCTGTTATGGTGTTGACCTCAAAAGAAAGCTGTATCAATGGGAAAGCTGTACCTTTCTAGTTTTGTGTGGGTTTTTCATTCTAGAAGACTTCTTTATGTCGACCTCTGTTGTATTCACACATCCAGGCTATGGGAAGAGTGACAGGATAATGAGAAAAACACAAGTTAATTCAGTTTAAATTTAATTTTTACGACTTTAGATTTATGCTTTGCCCTCTGGGATGCCACAGAAGGTAAAGGTGCAATTTCACCACTATCGTTATGAGTTTAAGTTAATCAAATGCAGGCTCTGCCTGGCTGGCATGTGAAGTGATTCTAAGAATTCTCCAGGACAATGTGTCAGATGCTGGTTAATTAGACATGGGATGTACCAATTCTAGCAAAATGAGTAAACCAGTGGGAAATCACTGAGTCGTAGCTGGCTGATTGAACAAGTGGTTTAATGTATGTCTCTTCCAGAAGAACAGAGCTAAGTAGTCTGATGACACCACTGTGAAATTTGAATTAATATTGATTATGTTGCTCCAAGGATGCAGAAATTTCTTTTCAATTTGCATGAAGCAGTGGCTTTATGTCTCTTTATCTGTCATATCAATTATGTATAACTCATATATATAAACTGTATAATCTATGAAGAGCTTAGAATTGCAAAACATTTTCAAATGCAGCCCTACTTCCTGAGAAATGTGTGGAATCGATTGTAATTATTCTTTTATGTGGAGGCTGGAGAGGAGTATTTTTTCAATAGGAACTATTAAGATGAAATCGATAATGTCAGCGATGATACCGGTAAAAGCAGAAGTGATGATGGCAACAACATCAGTAATTTAACTCACCACTGGTCTGTGCACATCCCAGAATGCTCTTTCCTGACTGTCAAGTATTTTCCTTTCAATTTTGTCTCTTTTCTTGTCGACTCTGGAAAAAAAAATTGAGTCCATAACCATTTTGACCAAGTAGTTTATTCCAAGACATGTATTATCCTCATTTGCTTCATCACATGTTTAGTACGCAGTTCATCTGTGAAGTTGTGTGCTGGAAATGACAGGGAAGTAGGCAAGTAAATTGATCATTTTATTCATGTCATATTGATGGTGTAAGAGGACTCACTCATAATGGCTTAATGTGTGTGTGGTTTTTACAGAAACCTACTTCGCTTGTGCTTCTGCTTGCATAAATATGAACTCCCATTTCCTGGCGAAAGCTCTCTGTAGCCTTGCTAAGCTCTCCTGAAAGTAAAACAAAGAACAAAGAGGACAAGAAAGGCTTTTCAGGGATCTGAGCTCAATATGTTTACTGCACATGCTGTGCACAGTGCACACTGGATACCATCTTGAAAGAGCCCTGCTCACATTCAAAATTAAAAACCTGAGAGTAACTACCCTGGTAATTCATTTATTCTCTTTGTGAAAGGAAAGTTACAAATGATACAGTGACACACACACAAAAAAACCCTAATGATTTCAGTGTCAGTATGAACAAAAGAGGCAAGAGATAAATCATGACAGCGGTGCCAGCACAGGAACAGAAGAGATACACTATGTGAAGAGGAGAGTTTTGGCAAAAAAAAAAGCTTTCACTCACCGCTTCATAGTCTGCAAGCTCCAGACGTGCTTTATTTTGCATTGTTCTTTTGCAGAGGTAAACAGCTGGGAGAGACGAAAAGGTGGGTAAAAGAGGGAGAACAGAATCTCTGCTTGGTTTTAACAGCATTAAGTGGCCCTGCGTTTACTCATTTAATCCTCACAACTGCACATTTAAACTGGCCTGCAAATCAGAAGGTCACTGACTGGGCATGGTGTGTGAGTGTGTTGTGCTTGTGTGTGTGTGTGTGTGTGTGAGTGTATGTGTACCTGACTTTTGATGTCTTCCTGTACTATCATCATCCCTTCATCCCTTTGTTAACTGACTATTATGTGGAAACTTAATTATACCATTAGACTGTTTTCATTAAGGGCATAATTCATATGAATCAGTTGCTACATCTGAGCCACTTCCCCTCACACTCACAGGATTATTCCTGCAGCAAGCATTAGTCCCTTCCCTCTCCTACAACTCTAACAACAAATGAAAGACCTGCGAGGCTTCAGCTATTCACCCAAACCTTTTCTGGTATTATGAAATGTTTATCTCCAACGCACTTTGCAGTAAACACTGAAAAGCTAATCCTTGTATCACCATTAAATGTTAAGCCAAATGTGCACAACAAATACATGCATACAAACACATTAGTGGTTTCTTTCATTGTAATCAGTTTGCATCAGTGAGAGAGTATGAACTGAGGCAGGTACAACTGGAAAATATAAGTATATAAAAATACAATAAGATAGAAAGTACATAGAGTTCTGGCATGCCCACTGTGCTATACCTGATTATAACTATGGGTTTTTGAGTAGAACTAAATGGGATTTTATGATTCTGTCAACTACCCAGATACTGCTGTTGCATTATTTCATTACTTTCTTATATATTGCACAATGCAAAAAGTACAAATTAGATCATAAGAGAAAAGCTCTCTCACCATAGTCTGTGTTTTCTGGTTCCCAGCAGTTTGATGGCCAAAAGTATGGAGTCTGAAGGGAAAGACATGCCATTAAGAAACTAAATTCAAAGAAACCTCACATCTTTGACAGCATACAGCTAATCACATGGTGTTCTGAATCATAGTGTCCTGTCATGTGAGGAGGGGCATGCAGTCACAGTGCTGCATCTGCCACCATAAAAGATTTTGTTGTATAATGAGCATAAGCTCCTTTCACAGGGCAACGAGAGCAGACACCAGCATGAATCTTGACCCAGCAGTGTATGGACTGGCTTCAGATGTGAGCCAATTACAATTAAGAAGCAAAGTAAAGCCTGCTAACGCAACTGGCTTTAGGCACATTTACTGTAGTTCTTTGCAGCACATTTGGTGGAGTTCAGTGGGGAAAAAAAAATAAAAAATCACTAAAACTCACTGAATCCCACTACTGACATTAAGAACAATGTGACTTTTTTCAGCCTGTAGGAATTATAGTACAGTAACTCAGATTCAATGTTTTGACTCTCAACTTTTCTCTGCCCTGTCAACTTACATCCTGTATATTCCAAAATTCTCACAATTGGAGTCATGTGTAAAGTGATTTGTGCACTTTATTTCAGTGGCATGAAAGAAGCTCCAGATGTTTAATACAGAAATGACAACACATGTTTCAAACATACTCTTTTTATCCCAGGCACTACATGTTCTTCTTAGGTCTGTTCTAAATATTACCATAGATTAATAAAGACCCTTCAAACCAAATAAAGATTAGAACACCACTGTTATTATTCTTACCTGAAACCTATAGAAAGTGCCATCATCTTTGAGGGTGAGGACGTGGTCTGAGATGGGGAAGAAGTATCCATGTGCAGCCATCAAAGTTCCTAGGTGAAGAGCCTCCACTGAGAGAGAAAACAGACAAAAGGTCATGGAAACCTTTCTGCTTTTAGAAATGTGTTAAAGAATAATTCCAAATCAGTGAAATATTAATCTTAATCTGTATTTTGGAATTCATAAATGAGGTTTTTATACTGTATATGTGCATATGTTTACTAACAAAATGCACTAATATCTTTACAGCCACTAAACAATAATGTTTTAATATTGTCTAGAATATATACTGTGCATTGAACTACATACAAGTGTACCTAATAAAGTGGCCACAGAGTGTAAATCTCATTTAGGATCTCACTTTGCCTTTAAAAGAAGATTCTCTGATTGCCCCACAATCAGCAGACCCTCATCACAGGTCCTGGACCTACATGCTGTGTTTTTCTCTGCCCAACTAATTAACTGTTTTATCAGATAACTTACTTTCACCTTTCATCCCCTGGTCTATAAAGCCATCCTTGACAAAATGGCTTGAATAAACCGTAGGAGCTTTACTGGGAGCTGCTGATGTAATAGACTATGACAGTGCTTTGACAGAGGGACCGGCAGGTCTCCATTCCAACCAAGCAGCACACCAGGAGGTCTTTGTGATTAGCCCACCTTCAGTCAGAGAGGCGGAAGTCATCAGTCAAATCACCTGGTGTTGTGCTTGGTTGGAGTGCAAACCTGCTTCCTTCTGGCGCTCCACAGCACATGGTCAACGGTCCCTGATTTAAAACTATCAGATAATGAAAGCATGCAATCATTATCAATGGTGTGTCTCGTCCGCCACCACATAGTCCCTGCTGTTCTCAACCTGTAACCGACTACAACTTGTCTTTAGAATAGTGAGTTGGCATTAAACAGTTTATCTACATGTTGTTTTATACAGTAGTGTCTTTCTGCCTTATGACTGACTGTAAAGCCCAGGGAAGGCTAGTAGTAAACCCTCTTAACACACTAATAAACTAACAGATCCAAAAGTTGAAATGCTTAACATAGGCAGAGCTGTGAATGCTACAATATACACACACTATGTGCACCACTACTCTCTTGCTCTACAACACACACACACACATCCTCACACCAGGTAAATGTGTGTGAGAGATAAATATAGACTGGCTCTTCCTTTACCACTGAGGTGACTGTCACAGCTTTGAGAGGTGAGAATGGTTATAGGTGAGGGTGTGTGTAAACAGTACACGTCTATATCACATCATGGGGACCTTTTTATGCTATCTTTGTGAGGAGATTTTCACCAGTTCTCATGATTTCAAAGATATTTTTCAAGGTTAAGACTTGGCTTTAGGGTTCAGGTTAGACTTAGATATGCAGTAGTTTAGGTGAAGGACTGTGCTTTGAAATTTCTTAGATATGCAGTAGTTTAGGTGAAGGGCTGTGCTTTGACATTTACAACTTGTGGTGGTTAAGGCGAAGTTAAAGGGCTAGGGGATACATTATGACAATGAGTGTCCTCTCAATTATAGCTAGTACTGTGTATGAGTGTGTGTGAGAGAGAGACTGAGCTCTGTCTATTAATAAATTATGACTCATAAGTGATTTAAACCTGTTTACTTATAAACACGCCACCCCCTCCCTGTCTACAATGTTATTCCTTACAGCATCATTGTCCCACATTTATATATATGTATATGTCATTTGCTGT